GACATTGTTGACATCGTTCTCGTCTGAAAACTCTAGCGGAGGCAAATGTAAGATCACTGGTGTCTTTTTCTCAGGAGAAACCTCTGAGAAGCAGGAATCTTTCACAAATGTTTCCATTCACACTGTCTATAAGAAACAATTGAGATTTCATGTGTGATTTTTCTTTTCCTGAGGGCAGAGCTGTTAATGAAGATGAAGGCTTCCCGAATCTTTGCATCTCATGTCTAGCGACTTTTCCCCGACCTCAGACAAACGGCTAATTAACGTTAGCATGTAATCTGACTAACGTTGACCCTGTAACCCCGTCCATTCATCCTTTTTTGTAGTCGGTCTCTGTAGAGATCAGTGTCTGCTCTTGATCCTATTAGCACTTCCAGCATCGTCTCTCTCCACACAGCACGACGCTCGGCGAGGTTTTATTTTCTACCGCAGTGGCCAAATGATGGCGATGCAGCATGCTTGACAGGGTAATTACTTTTAATGAAATAATACGACCATCACAGGCATCAATTAAAAGCCGTGCTCATTAGAGGGGTTTGCGCTCGTCCCTCATCCCTCCGTTTTCTAACGATCCAAACAGCACGGAAGCTAAATCGAAGATTGCTGAACGTTTCCCCCCTTGGGAGCGATGGCTCACAACAAAAACAAGAGAGAGAGAGAGGAAGACAGAGAAAAAAGGGGAGCTTGTCAATAGTGAAAGAGAAAAAAACACTGTACACACACACATTGTTCTGTTTATCTTTATAATATTACAAAAAATGTGGCCATAAATGACCTGTTTTTCACTCAATGAGACCTTCTCAGGCCTCTTGCTGAGACCTCATGACAAAGACCGCAGATACATCACATTAGAAACCTCACACAACAGGCTTATACTGAAAAACCTCTCCTGATAGACCTCACTCCAGAGACCTCACGCCAGACTCCAGATAAAACACATTAGAAACCTCACACAACAAGCTTATACTGAAAAACCTCTCCTGATAGACCTCACTCCAGAGACCTCACTCCAGACTCCAGATAAAACACATTAGAAACCTCACACAACAGACCTATACTGAAAAACCTCTCCTGATAGACCTCACTCCAGACTCCAGATAAAACACATTAGAAACCTCACACAACAAGCTTATACTGAAAAACCTCTCCTGATCGACCTCACACCAGAGACCTCACTCCAGACTCCAGATAAAACACATTAGAAACCTCACACAACAGACTTATACTGAAAAACCTCTCCTGATAGACCTCACACCAGAGACCTCACTCCAGAGACCTCACTCCAGACTGCAGATACATCACATTAGAAACCTCACACAACAGACTTATACTGAAAAACCTCTCCTGATAGACCTCACGCCAGAGACCTCACTCCAGACTCCAGATAAATCACATTAGAAACCTCACACAACAGACTTATACTGAAAAACCTCTCCTGATAGACCACACACCAGAGACCTCACGCCAGAGACCTCACTCCAGACTGCAGATACATCACATTAGAAACCTCACACAACAGGCTTATGGCGCTTTTCCACTGCATGGAACGGTACGGCTCGGTTCGGTACGGCTCACTTATGGCGCATTTCCACTGCATGGTACGGTACGGTACGGCTCGCTTCGGCTCGCTTTAAATGGTACCTGCTCTGTTGAGGTTCCAAGCGTACCGTACCGATACTAAATGTGACGTGAAAACACTACAGATCACTGATTGGTCAGACAGACAGAATCGTCACTATCAGCGTCATTGTATTTGCGACACGAGACACTAAACCCACTCGATTTAAATAGCCAGTAGACAACAGCCACCGCTGTAGCACCTGTTTTAAAACTACTTGCTTGACTTGCTTGAAGAAAAAAGAAAGAAAGAAAACTTCAATAAAAAAGAAATGGCTGAATCGTGGTCAGTGGACGAAGTGCAGACGTTCGTCTCGTTGGTTGCCGAGGAGCGGATAAACTATAACGGTCAGACTATAACCCCACCCACTTTGAAGCGGTACTAACTGCAGTGGAAAAGCAAACCGAGCTAAAGCGAGCCGAGCCGTGCCGTGCCGAGCCGAGTCGTACCAGCAGTGGAAAAGCGAAGCGAGCCGAACCGTGTCGCGCCGAGCCGAACCGTACTGAGCCGTACCGAGCCGTACCAGCAGTGGAAAAGCGCCATTATACTGAAAAACCTCTCCTGATAGACCTCACGCCAGAGACCTCACTCCAGACTCCAGATAAAACACATTAGAAACCTCACACAACAGACTTATACTGAAAAACCCTTTCCTGATAGACCTCACACCAGAGACCTCACTCCAGAGACCTCACTCCAGACTGCAGATACATCACATTAGAAAGCTCACACAACAGGCTTATACTGAAAAACCTCTCCTGATAGACCTCACGCCAGAGACCTCACGCCAGACTCCAGATAAAACACATTAGAAACCTCACACAACAGACTTATACTGAAAAAGCTCTCCTGATCGACCTCACGCCAGAGACCTCACTCCAGAGACCTCACTCCAGACTGCAGATACATCACATTAGAAAGCTCACACAACAGGCTTATCCTGAAAAACCCTTTCCTGATAGACCTCACACCAGAGACCTCACGCCAGAGACCTCACTCCAGACTGCAGATACATCACATTAGAAAGCTCACACAACAGGCTTATACTGAAAAACCTCTCCTGATAGACCTCACACCAGAGACCTCACGCCAGAGACCTCACTCCAGACTGCAGATACATCACATTAGAAAGCTCACACAACAGGCTTATACTGAAAAACCTCTCCTGATAGACCTCACACCAGAGACCTCACTCCAGACTCCAGATAAATCACATTAGAAACCTCACACAACAGACTTATACTGAAAAAGCTCTCCTGATCGACCTCACGCCAGAGACCTCACGCCAGAGACCTCACTCCAGACTCCAGATAAATCACATTAGAAACCTCACACAACAGGCTTATACTGAAAAACCTCTCCTGATAGACCTCACACCAGAGACCTCACGCCAGAGACTCCAGATAAAACACATTAGAAACCTCACACAACAGGCTTATACTGAAAAACCTCTCCTGATAGACCTCACACCAGAGACCTCACGCCAGAGACCTCACTCCAGACTGCAGATACATCACATTAGAAACCTCACACAACAGGCTTATACTGAAAAACCTCTCCTGATAGACTTCACACCAGAGACCTCACGCCAGAGACTCCAGATAAAACACATTAGAAACCTCACACAACAGGCTTATACTGAAAAACCTCTCCTGATAGACCTCACACCAGAGACCTCACGCCAGAGACCTCACTCCAGACTGCAGATACATCACATTAGAAACCTCACACAACAGGCTTATACTGAAAAACCTCTCCTGATCGACCTCACACCAGAGACCTCACTCCAGACTCCAGATAAATCACATTAGAAACCTCACACAACAGACTTATACTGAAAAAGCTCTCCTGATCGACCTCACGCCAGAGACCTCACTCCAGACTGCAGATACATCACATTAGAAACCTCACACAACAGGCTTATACTGAAAAACCTCTCCTGATAGACCTCACACCAGAGACCTCACGCCAGAGACTCCAGATAAAACACATTAGAAACCTCACACAACAGGCTTATACTGAAAAACCTCTCCTGATAGACCTCACACCAGAGACCTCACGCCAGAGACCTCACTCCAGACTGCAGTTACATCACATTAGAAACCTCACACAACAGGCTTACACTGAAAAACCTCTCCTGATAGACCTCACGCCAGAGACCTCACTCCAGACTCCAGATAAAACACATTAGAAACCTCACACAACAGACTTATACTGAAAAACCCTTTCCTGATAGACCTCACACCAGAGACCTCACTCCAGAGACCTCACTCCAGACTGCAGATACATCACATTAGAAAGCTCACACAACAGGCTTATACTGAAAAACCCTTTCCTGATAGACCTCACACCAGAGACCTCACTCCAGACTCCAGATAAAACACATTAGAAACCTCACACAACAGACTTATACTGAAAAACCCTTTCCTGATAGACCTCACACCAGAGACCTCACTCCAGAGACCTCACTCCAGACTGCAGATACATCACATTAGAAAGCTCACACAACAGGCTTATACTGAAAAACCCTTTCCTGATAGACCTCACACCAGAGACCTCACTCCAGACTCCAGATAAAACACATTAGAAACCTCACACAACAGACTTATACTGAAAAACCTCTCCTCAGAGACCTCACACCAGAGACTATATATTATATTTATTAATTATATTAAAATTAAAGCAAAGTATAAAATAACAACTTTAACTTTGTTTTAATTTTAAAGTATTTGTATTTTTTTGTATTTTTGTCATTTTTATTGCTTTCAGTTTTGTTGAAATGTCTATATAATTTTTATACATTTTAATTTAATTTTTTATTTAATTATTTTATACTTTTTTTTATTTATTATATAATAAAATTATATTTTGTTAATTTATTTAATAATCATTTTTATTTTATTTTTATTTTAGTTCAAGTTAAATATAAAAGGGAAATGTTGCCTTAAATATAAATATTTAAAAAAAAATGTTTTTTATATTTTTTCACTTCATTTCGATTAACATTTACTTTAAGTAACACTAGTGTTTAATGGTTTTAGTTTTATAAGAGACCTCACATTATAAACCTCACGCCAGAGACCTCCGCAGACACTTAATAATGCAGAATGAGATTATAGCAACCGAATTGCAAAAGTTTTTCACAATCTAAACTCTGGAAAGTTGTTTTATGAAGCCCGCAGTGGAAAGCGTCTAACATGTCCTGTTTGTTATGTAATTTCCAGTTTCACGGATGTGTGATGTTATTATTTCATCCCAGGATTCAAGCCCCACTTTCTCATGGACACAGAGGCTCCTAATTGATTTATCTCTCTCTTATTCCCTTCTTCATCTTGCTTTTCTCTCCCTCGCTCTCTCTTTCTCTCGCTCTCCTTTTCTGCAGCAATTTGGGAAGATCTTAGACGTGGAGATTATCTTTAATGAAAGAGGATCAAAGGTATGAATGACGCTTGCTTTCTTCCCCTCTCTGTGTGTGTAGCGACGATCTCTTCTGAACTCTTTATTGGCTTAGAGACGCCGGTTTGATCTTCCTCGAGTCAGATTAAAGACTGTAAAGTCGAAGACATGGCAGCGCACATAATCAGAGCTAGTTCAGGGTCAGAGGTCAGCCGCTCGCAGGACTTCACCGTAATCTGCTGTTTGTTCAGACGACACAGGGAAGGACGTACAAACTCTTGTGCTGCTGATGTGGACTTCAGGCTTTGCCGGGCTATATATGTCACAATTATAATAGTTATGATAAAATTGACCTATTCGTTTTCCTCCAGAGCCTATCGCTGTGAGGGATAGGTGAGGCCGGGGCTAGTTGTCACACTGACAAGATATTTTGGAGAACTGCTTGCTGGAACATTAAACATTGAAAAGCCCTATTAGATTTTTTTGATAGTTAATCAAAGGAATTCCCTTGGACTAGCAAATATAGACTGCAGAAAAAAAGTGACATTTACACTATTACTGGCCAATAAAAAAGATACATGTGACTCTCGATCTATAGCGGGGCGTGTTGTCACACTATATGGGTAAAATGGGAATCATCTGATAGATAGTTTTTAAACAGGGTGTTTTATGCTTTTTTAAAGCAGGATTATTATTGTTGACTAAAACGTAAAACTACTAAAACATTTTTGTTAATTTAAAATAAAGCTGAAATAAACTTAACCTAAGCAAAAATTAGAAATGTTGCCCTGCCAACTAATTGAAATTATTTTAAGATGGAAATAAATAAAAACTAAAACTAAAACTGAAATAAAAATAATTTAAATTAAATTGTAATATTAAAAAATTAAAAAGAAAAAAAATATATATATATCTTAAGCACATAACAAAATTACTCAAATTAAAATGAAAGTAAATAAAAACAAAAATAAATTCTAATTCAAAATAGTAAAAAAAATTATAATATATAAATAATAGTAAAATAACACATGTTATATATTATTATTAAAAAACTAAAATGTTGAAATTGCCAAAAAATATACTAAAATATTTATTTGGGATAGATTATAATCAATAACATAATATAATATATATATAAAATCTATATATTATATTTAATTGACCAAAGTGCCTGGTTTGATTATATAGTGACTGTTGAGTCTTAAAGGGATACTCCACTTTTTTTGGAAATAGGCTCATTTTACAACTCCCCCAGAGTTAAACTGTTGAGTTTTACCGTTTTTGAATCCATTCAGCCGATCTCCGGTTCTGGCGGTACCACTTTTAGCATAGCTTAGCATACATCATTGAAGTGGACAAGACCATTAGCATTTCTCAAAAAAAAAATGACCAAAGAGTTTCGATATTTTTCCTATTTAAAACTTGACTCTTCTGTAGTTACATCGTGCACTAAGAGCGACGGAAAATGTAAAGTTGCGATTTTCTAGGCTGATATGGCTAGGAACTATACTCTCATTCCTGCGTAATAATCAAGAAACTTCACTGCCGTACCATGAGTGCAGCAGGCGCAGGCACTTAGTCCCGGTCACGTTGGAAGTTACCGAGCTGGGGACTATTTTCAGGCGCTGCGTCATATCATTACGCCTGCTGCACTCATGGTACGGCAGTAAAGTTTCTTGATTATTACGCAGGAATGAGAGTATAGTTCCTAGCCATATCAGCCTAGAAAATCGCAACTTTACATTTTCCGTCGGTCTTAGTGCACGATGTAACTACAGAAGTGTCAAGTTTTAAATAGGAAAAATATTGAAACTCTTTGGTCATTATTTTTTTTTGAAATGCTAATGGTCTTGTCCACTCCAATGATGTATGCTAAGCTATGCTAATAGTGGTACTGCCAGAACCGGAGATCGGCTGAATGGATTCAAAAACAGTAAAACTCAACAGTTTAACTCTGGGGGAGTTGTAAAATGATCCTATTTCCAAAAAAGTGGAGTATCCCTTTAATGTACGTTGCGTCCGGAAAGTATTCACGGCGCTTCACTTTTACCACATTTTGTTATGTTACAGCCTTATGCCTCCAAAATGGATAAAATTCATTATTTTCCTCAAAATTCTACAAACAATACCCCATAATGACAACGTGAAAGAAGATTGTTTGAAATCTTTGCAAATTTATTAAAAATAAAAAAATCACATGTACATAAGTATTCACAGCCTTTGCCATGACACTCAGAATTGAGCTGAGGTGCATCCGGTTTGCACTGATCATCCCTGAGATGTTTCCACAGCTTGCTTGGAGTCCACCTGTGGCAGATTCACACCTGTCTAAATAAGGTCCCACAGTTAACAGTGAATATCAGAGCACAAACCAAGCCATGAAGTCCGAGGAATTGTCCGTAGACCTCCGAGACAGGATTGTATCGAGGCGCGGATCTGAGGAAGTGTACGGAAGACTTTCTGCAGCATTGAAGGTCCCAATCATCATCCGTAAATGGGAAGGAGTTGGGAACCACCAGGACTCTCGTGGAGAGAGGAGAACCTTCCAGAAGAACAACCATCTCTGAATCTCAGATATATATGCCATGAAGAATCCTTAAAGGTGCAGTGGAGATGGAGATCACAGCGTGCTCTGTTGTGTGCCCTATAAAGCCCATTACCCATGATGCCTTGCTCTCCCCACCACCAGCGTTGCTGGATAATGAACCCACCGGCCCATTAATAAACAATCTATTTTCTAAGAAGCAGCAATTTGCATTCAATATGTTTGTCCCTTTTGAAAAATGGGCTCTCTTTTCCCCCTCTGTGTAAGCTAATTATTGCATGATAAAACAGCGGAGCCGGCGAGAGCAGATGCTGTCGTGTGAGATGTCCACAGGATTCATTTGGCCCTCAGTTCCCTTCCTCAATTTATTCCTTTATCTCTCTGACTGATGTAGATGTGTATGTGAATCAAGCGGGAGTCGCTGAAGTTCCCGCGCGCGAGCGTCTAATATTAACCGACCCCTCGGGCTGATAGTAGCTCATCCTGTATTATCCAAACACCATCCAGCAGTCCATCATCTGAAGCCCCGCCCCCTCCTCACTCTGATTGGCCGCTGCATCATGATGATCTTCCACACTAACTGCACCTCTTATTGGCTCTGAGTAAAGCAGCATTTCACACTTCTGAGAGTGTTTTAGGTGTTATTTCTGCCGAATCATGACCTGACTGAGCCTCTTTACATACAGACTGTGTGTTTTACTGTAGTGTTTCTCTGTAACCCTCATGATCCTCCCTTTCGTGGGCTCCTGACCCCCTTCAATGCTGTTTCTCTCTCTCTCTCTCTCTCCTCCTGCTTCACTCCATGCGTCCGCAGGGCTTTGGCTTTGTAACTTTTGAAACGAGCGCAGAAGCAGATCGCGCGCGGGAGAAACTAAACGGTACAATCGTAGAAGGACGTAAAATCGAGGTGCTTTCCTTTTCCCCTTCTTCCTCTTCCGTCCTCCTTTCCTGCCTGCTGACCTCATTTCCTGTCCTCATCCTGAGATTCACGAGCATCTGCATGTCACCTCACCTGCCCAAGTGTGTGTGTGTGTGTGTGTGTGTGTGTGTGGCATTTTAAAGGAATATTCTGGGTTAAATGCAACATGCTCTATTGACAGCTTCTGTGACAAACACTTATAGGGTTCATCTAAATAAAACAGTAAAAACATGTCCAGGTCATATTTCACCCCAAAATGAAAAGAATAAAACAAGAAACTGTATTTAATATAACGAAAATGTTTTTTTAACCATGTTTTACAACCATTAACATGTATTGTATTGTGTTTTTACACCCCAAATCCCTCCAGAAAAAAATGTTTTATAATTGTTTTCTATTTTTTTTACTGGAAAATCCTACTATATAATTTGTTTATTTAGCATTCTTTTAATTTCCTTAATTTAATTATTTTAATTTTAATGATATATTAATATAGCTAATTATTTATTCATATTATCGTTTATTTTAGTATTTATTATATTGTATTATATTATATCGTATATCTTATCATATTATATTTATTAATTATATTATATTATATTATATTATAATGATGTATTATATTATTTGTAAGTATTTTTTGTACACATTTTTCATTTGATTGATGACCTGAGAAAAATTTCACATTTAGTACATTATTATCTGACAGCAGCTGCTGTCAATAGATATTAAGATATTAATATTTCTTAAATATTTGATCTTTGAGAGGAGTTTAATCTGTTGGATCTAAATCTTTAAAATATGTATTAACCTGGTCTTTCATTAAATATTGTATAACTAGCCCAAAGCAAACTGTATGTTAAGAGAGAATGCAGATTGTCATATCAGCTATCACGTTCAAAAGGTTTTTTTTTTTTTCAAAAAGTCATGGGAGATTTTTGTTCATTGCTTGTGTATGTCATCAATTAAAAATGTTCATTAAAAAATTAAAACAAAATTGCAGATATTTAGCTAAATATCCGGATATAATAACATTCTGTAAGTGTGCATGAACTCAGAACAGCCGGAAGAGATGCATTGTGGGTCATTACAGGAACAGCCGAGAGATATTACTCTCATGCATGCGTGTTTTGCATGAGCGCAGTGTTTTTATGCATGTGTTTTTGATGTATGTTCCTGCGGCTCGCTCACATCTCTCTCTGTCTCTCTCTCTCTCAGGTGAACAACGCCACGGCGAGAGTGATGACGAATAAGAAAGTAGTAAACCCGTACACGAACAGTAAGAGCGCCTCTCTGCTCATAAATCTCCTTCACCTGCTGCCTCAGCATTACAGCGGCTGAACGCTCCTGACGATCACTGACAGATGTTGTCTTAACCCCAGTGGGATCTATTAAAGTCAGATATTTCCCTCTCTGTCCTGTGTGTCTGCAGGCTGGAAACTCAATCCGGTCGTCGGAGCCGTTTACGGGCCGGAGCTCTACGCAGGTGAGGAAGACCGCTGGAGAATATCGCTTTATCACTTTATTTTATTGTGAAACTAATGATACATACAACAACAATGTGTGTTGCTTAGATGGATGGATGGATGGATGGATAGATAGATAGATAGATAGATAGATAGATAGATAGATAGATAGATAGATAGATAGATAGATAGATAGATAGATAGATAGATAGATGGATGGATGGATGGATGGATGGATGGATGGATGGATGGATGGATGGATGGATGGATGGATGGATGGATGGATGGATGGATGGATGGATGGATGGATGTCGCTTTATCACTTTATTTTATTGTGAAACTAATGATACATACAACAACAATGTGTGTTGCTTAGATGGATGGATGGATGGATGGATAGATAGATAGATAGATAGATAGATAGATAGATAGATAGATAGATAGATAGATAGATAGATAGATAGATAGATAGATAGATAGATGGATGGATGGATGGATGGATGGATGGATGGATGGATGGATGGATGGATGGATGGATAGATAGATAGATAGATAGATAGATAGATAGATAGATAGATAGATAGATAGATAGATAGATAGATAGATAGATAGATAGATAGATAGATAGATAGATAGAGTTAGGGGTTTATCATTTGTGTGTTAGAGGTTTATCAGGTGTGTGTTAGGGGTGTATCAGGTGTGTGTTAGGGGTGTATCAGGTGTGTGTTAGGGGTGTATCAGGTGTGTGTTAGGGGTGTATCAGGTGTGTGTTAGGGCCGGGGTGTATCAGGAGTGTGTTAGGGGTGTATCAGGTGTGTGTTAGGGGTGTATCAGGTGTGTGTTAGGGGTGTATCAGGTGTGTGTTTGGGGTGTATCAGGTGTGTGTTAGGGGTGTATCAGGTGTGTGTTAGGGGTGTATCAGGTGTGTGTTAGGGGTTTATCAGGTGTGTGTTTGGGCTGTATCAGGTGTGTGTTAGGGGTGTATCAGGTGTGTGTTAGGGGTTTATCAGGTGTGTGTTTGGGCTGTATCAGGTGTGTGTTAGGGGTGTATCAGGTGTGTGTTTGGGGTGTATCAGGTATGTGTTAGGGGTGTATCAGGTGTGTGTTAGGGGTGTATCAGGTGTGTGTTTGGGCTGTATCAGGTGTGTGTTTGGGCTGTATCAGGTGTTTGTTAGGGGTGTATCAGGTGTGTGTTAGGGGTGTATCAGGTGTGTGTTAGGGGTGTATCAGGTGTGTGTTTGGGCTGTATCAGGTGTGTGTTTGGGCTGTATCAGGTGTTTGTTAGGGGTGTATCAGGTGTGTGTTAGGGGTGTATCAGGTGTGTGTTAGGGCTGTATCAGGTGTGTGTTAGGGGTGTATCAGGTGTGTGTTAGGGGTGTATCAGGTGTGTGTTAGGGGTTTATCAGGTGTGTGTTAGAGGTTTATCAGGTGTGTTAGGGGTGTATCAGGTGTGATTTAGGGGTGTATCACGTGTGTGTTAGGGGTGTATCAGGTGTGTGTTAGGGGTTTATCAGGTGTGTGTTTGGGCTGTATCAGGTGTGTGTTAGGGGTGTATCAGGTGTGTGTTTGGGGTGTATCAGGTATGTGTTAGGGGTGTATCAGGTGTGTGTTAGGGGTGTATCAGGTGTGTGTTTGGGCTGTATCAGGTGTTTGTTAGGGGTGTATCAGGTGTGTGTTAGGGGTGTATCAGGTGTGTGTTAGGGGTGTATCAGGTGTGTGTTAGGGGTGTATCAGGTGTGTGTTAGGGGTGTATCAGGTGTGTGTTAGGGGTGTATCAGGTGTGTGTTAGGGGTTTATCAGGTGTGTGTTAGAGGTTTATCAGGTGTGTTAGGGGTGTATCAGGTGTGATTTAGGGGTGTATCACGTGTGTGTTAGGGGTGTATCAGGTGTGTGTTAGGGGTTTATCAGGTGTGTGTTAGGGCCGGGGTGTATCAGGTGTGTGTTAGGGGTTTATAAGGTGTGTGTTAGGGCCGGGGTGTATCAGGTGTGTGTTAGGGGTTTATCAGGTGTGTGTTAGGGCCGGGGTGTATCAGGTGTATTAGGGTCCCGTCCCGCCCGGGCCGATCGGGGGTTAAATGTCCCGCTCAAAGGAGCAGTGCTGATGCCAGTAATTTTCCACTTTATGGAAGTGAACCCAGGACCGCTGCGTTAGCACTCGAATCCACCAGCGCCCCAATAAAACTACTCATGCTAGCGTGTTATTAGTGGAACTAGATGCCACGTTGGATTCCATTACCAATAAAAGCACACGCTATTGAACACATCATAACCGCTGTTTTAATTTATTGCAGTCAGATGGTGGTCGCGTCATTAGCGCTGCTAGTTAGCTCTCGGCTCAATTTGATTAGCAGTCACGGATCACATTTCTTTTAAAACTCTTCGCTGGCACAAATGAAGAATTCAGCGCAGAGTAATTGGCTTTAGTTCATTTTGCGCTCTCTGTTTTGAGTTCATTCTGATTTGCCCTCGAGTCTCAATGACTGTAAAAGTCTTTCATAAGGAAAATGAAATGACATTAGAGCTCAGCAGAGCCATACGCTAACACGCGCTAACGTACGCTAACATACGCTAACACAACGCAGACACACTAATCCACTAGAACACATCTAAACATGGAGGGTTACATACAGATTTACACACACACACACACACACACACACACACACACACACCAGTCTATCTGCACCTCAAAACCTGTGTGCGCGTGAATGTGTGTGTGTGTGTGTGTGTGTGCATGTGCTGTGTGTGTGTGTGTGTGTGTGTGTGTGTGTGTGTGTGTGTGTGTGTGTGTGTGTGTGTGTGTGTGTGTGTGTGTGTGTGTGTGTGTGAGAGAGTATGTGTGTGTGTGGGTGTGTGTGTGTGAGAAGAGAAAAATCCACTCACTCTTATCAGATTGGCTCACAGAATGAGAGCAATGGAGTGAAAGATGCCGCTCGGAGTGTAATCGAGCAGTGACACACACACACACACACGGGGGTTTCTCTCGTTTACTGCCGTCTGTTAGACGAAGCCTTTGCATTCTGATGAGACGAGCTGCTAGTGTTTCATCTGGAGGAAGTTCATGGTCCGTCTCAGAGCGCGACCCTTTAAATAACACAGATCATCTGATCGTTCCCTCGTGAAGCTGCTGAGACACACACACACACACACACACACTTACAGTTCATCAGGACTAAACATCAGCACACGTTCAGCAGTGATACACACATCAGCAGTGATATACACATCAGCACACGTTCAGCAGTGGCACACACTTCATAGCGTTTCTCCTCACTTATTTACAACAGAGAATTATGTCATTTACTCTAACTCATGTTGTTCTAAACCCATCCATCCATCATCCATATATCCATCCATCCTTCCATCCATCCATATATCCTTCCATCCATCCTTCCATCCATCCATCCATATATCCATCCATCCATCCATCCATCCATATATCCATCCATCTATCCATCCATCCATTTGTCCTTTCATATATCCATCCATCCATCCATCCATATATCCATATATCCATTCATCCATATATTCATCCATCCATTTATCCATCCATTCATATATCCGTACATTCATCATTTCTTATATCATCCATCTATCAATCTATCCATCCAACCATATATCCATTCATCCATCCATATATCCATCCATCCATCCATTCATCATTTCATATATCCATCCATCCATATATCCATTCATCTATCCATCCATCCATATATCCATCCATCCATTCATCCTTTCATATATCCATCCATCCATATATCCATCCATCATCCATATATCCATCCATACATTCATCCTTTCATGTATCCATCCATCCATCCATCCATCCATCCATCCATCTATCCATCCATATATCTATCCATCCATCCATCCATCCATATATCCATCCATCCATCCATATATCCATCCATCTATCCATCCATCCATATATCCATCCATCTATCCATCCATCCATCCATCCATTCGTCCTTTCATATATCCATCCATCCATATATCCATCCATCCATTCATCCATTCATCCTTTCATATATCCATATATCCATCCATTTATCCATTCATCCATATATCCATCCATCCATTCATTTGTTCATTCATTCATTCAAACTATTTGGGCACCTTTGGACTCTGAATTCACACTTAAAATTGTGTAAATGTCATTGCATTAGATACAAACAATGTCAAACCAAGTGGCATCCGCATTAAATTATGCCATACACTGTAAAAAAAGAAAGAAATAATTTGATCAGTAAGTCATGGCAGCTTATGTTTTTACAGTACTGTAACTCATCAAAACAAGTTAAGCTATTCCAACTTTTAAGTTAAACGAGATTCAACTGGGTTGTGAAATTAATTTCAACTTAAATTGTATTTAACTGACTAAAAAAAACAGTTGATTATACTTAAAATTTTAAATTTAAATAATAAAATAATTATACAATTTATGTTATTGTATATTTTATAAGTTGTTTACAATTTATATAATTTTATACAATTATATAATATTTTGTATCAATATAGAAATATTATTTTATTTATATAATACACATTATTTTATATATATATATATATATGTGTGTGTGTGTGTGTGTGTGTGTGTGTGTGTGTGTGTGTGTGTAAGTATAAAGTTATATGCAATCATATATATATATATATAATACACGTGTGTATAAATATAAACTATTATTAAATTATTGTTTTAATTATAATACTTATAAGTAAGCTTTTTTATGATACTCTTAGAAAGCTTTAATAGTAAAGATCAGCGTCTGCAGTCTCCATCTGTGTTGTGTCAGTGTGTTGTGAGTTTATTGAGGTTTGTGTGTGCTGGATTGTGCTGAGAAGTACATGTGCTGATGGAAGCCTTCGTGGCGCCAGATTCTTCCTCCTCCTTTGTTGTTTGCAACCCAAACCTTCCCATGAGCCTCTAGTGATGAGTCTGAGGTAATGAGCTGAGAGAGTATCCGGCCCGGCCTCGCTCTGGCATCAGTCGCTCCGCTGCCACGATCAGTTTGTGTGTTGGCACTGCTGATGGAAATGTAGACGCCGAATATCTTTTCAAATGACTTTGACGAATGAACAAAAGCATCGCTCGCACTGACGTGACTCTTATTAGAGGACCTTCACGCTCACTTTACACTGAGAATCACTTCAGCGACACGGACACAGAGAGGAGAGGGGGTTTATACTATCAGGAATTCCTTCCATGGAATAATTCACCATCAATTCTATCATCGTTTATTCACCCATATGTTGTTTTTCAGTGCAACAAAAAAAAAACTTTTCCATTCAATGAAAACTTCACTGCAAAAAAAATTGTTGAGCTAACTTAAAAAAAATAAGGCTACTGATCGCATTCAACTTTTTAAGTTAACTCAACTAATCCACTCCAGTTAAAATCTACTTAAATACGTTTGTCCATCTAATGAGTAGCAGGTAATCTTTTGAACTTAAAACTTCTTGTCAAAAAAAAAAAAACAAAAAAAGGTTGAAAAAAAAAATGAAAGTTGAGTGTAATAGGTTGACTTATTTTTTTAAGTTAGCTCAACTATTAATTTTTGGTTATCTTGACAAGAAGTTTTAAGTTCAAAAGATTACACTCATTAGATGAAGGGGTTTATCAGGTGTGTGTTAGGGGTGTATCAGGTGTGTGTTAGAGGTTTATCAGGTGTGTGTTAGGGGTGTATCAGGTGTGTGTTAGAGGTGTATCAGGTGTGTGTTAGGGGTTTATCAGGTGTGTGTTAGAGGTTTATCAGGTGTGTGTTAGAGGTTTATCAGGTGTGTGTTAGGGCCGGGGTGCATCAGGTGTGTGTTAGAGGTTTATCAGGTGTGTGTTAGAGGTTTATCAGGTGTGTGTTAGGGCCGGGGTGCATCAGGTGTGTGTTAGGGGTTTATCAGGTGTGTGTTAGAGGTGTATCAGGTGTGTGTTAGGGGTGTATCAGGTGTGTGTTAGAGGTGTATCAGGTGTGTGTTAGAGGTTTATCAGGTGTGTGTTAGAGGTTTATCAGGTGTGTGTTAGAGGTGTATCAGGTGTGTGTTAGGGGTGTATCAGTTGTGTGTTAGAGGTTTATCAGGTGTGTGTTAGAGGTTTATCAGGTGTGTGTTAGAGGTTTATCAGATGTGTGTTAGAGGTTTATCAGGTGTGTGTTAGGGGTTTATCAGGTGTGTGTTAGAGGTTTATCAGGTGTGTGTTAGAGGTTTATCAGGTGTGTGTTAGAGGTTTATCAGGTGTGTGTTAGGGGTGTATCAGGTGTGTGTTAGGGGTTTATCAGGTGTGTGTTAGGGGTTTATCAGTTGTGTGTTAGAGGTTTATCAGGTGTGTGTTAGAGGTTTATCAGGTGTGTGTTAGGGGTTTATCAGGTGTGTGTTAGAGGTTTATCAGGTGTGTTTTAGGGGTTTAGCAGGTGTGTGTTAGGGGTTTATCAGTTGTGTGTTAGAGGTTTATCAGTTGTGTGTTAGAGGTTTATCAGGTGTGTGTTAGAGGTAAATAAGAACAAAATAAGTTGATTTTGACTGGAGTGGATTAGTTGAGTTAACTTAAAAAGTTGAATGCGATAGGTTGCCTTATTTTTTTTAATAAGATAGGTTTTAATAACCTATCGCACTCAACTTTTTAAGTTAACTCAATTAATCCACTCCAGGTAAAATCTACTTAATTGCGTTTGTTCATCTAATGAGTACCAGGTAATCTTTTAAACTTAACTTCTTGTCAAGATAAAAAAGAAAAGAAAAGTAGAGCCAACTTAAAAAAAAAAATTTAAGTTAACTTAAAAAGTTGAGTGTGATCGGTTGCCTTATTTTTTTAAGTTAGCTCAACTATTATTACTTATTTTTTTGTTATCTTGAAGTTTTAAGTTTAAAAGATTACCCTCATTAGATGAACAAAAGTATATAAGTTGATTTTAACTGGAGTGGATTAGTTGAGTTAACTTAAAAAGTTGAATGCGACATGTTACCTTATTCTTTTTAAGTTAGCTCAACTACCAAGTGCTTTAAAGCTCGGAAAAGAACATATAAAGTAGGTAAATTAGTAAATGACAACATAATCTTCATTTTTTGCAGATCTCTTCCTTTAATCTCTCGTATAGTCCCTGTAACTCCAGTCAGATCCGCTCTGAAGTGTGTTAATGAGTGTAGATGAGCTCTCTCGTTGTTGCTCGGCACGTTACGCAGATAATGAAGCACTCGCGGTTGATCTGATTAATCTACGTCTCTTCCCCGGCGTGTGGATTACTCTCTCTAACTCCTTCACACAACTGGAAGCATTAACAGTCATCAAGCGGGTTATGAGTCCTTCAGCAGCGGAGGAACTGTCCTGTCAGTAATTAAAATGTATTTAAGATATTTACGTTCTTGTTGAACAGATGCAAAAAAAAAAAAAGAAAACAATTCTATTTTGTCTTTTCATTGTGTGATTCATTGATATGTCAGTGTCAGGACAAAGTAACCAAGTCCTTGTATACAGACAAGTCTTGGTAAACTCAGACATATTTATGAAGAATCAAACCATGTTGATGTCAAAGTTTTGTAAACTTACTGTATCAATGCATCAAACTTGCAGATCTAACTGTGTGGCTTCAGGAGATTTTTCTAAGCATAGACTTGCAAAAATGATTAAACATTATAAAGTGATGTATGTGGTGGCCAATAAAATGGGTAAAAATTATGGGGAAATGGTTAAGAATACTTTTGCCTTTAAAATTGGTAAAAATAAGAGATAAAAAATGGCAAACAAGAAAAAAAATACTTTTGGTAGTCAATAAAATGGGTCAAATTAAGGGGGGAATGGTTAAAAATTTGCTGGCCAATACAATTGGTAAAAATAAGAAAGAAATTGTTCAAAATACTTTTGGTTGCCAATAAAATTGATAAAATTAATAAAAATAAAAAAGGGTAAAAAAAAAATACATTTGGTGGGCAATTAAATGGATAGAAAAAAATTTGGAGAAAAAAACATTTGCTTTTGGTCAAAACAATTTGTAAAATAAAATAAAATGCATTTGCTGGCCAATAAATTGGTTTTAAAAAAAGGCTTTTGTTTGCCAGTAAAAAAAATTAAAATAAGAAAAAATTTATTTGCTGGACAATAAATTGTTTAAAATTAAAAAAATTGTAAAAAAAAAAAAAAAAAGCTTTTGGTGGGCAATAAAATGGGTTAAAATAAGAAAAACTGAAAGAAAAATTATATTTGGTGGGCAATTAAATAAGTAAACAAGAAAAACGGTGAAAATATATATATATATAAATTGACATTTGGTGGCCAATAAAATGGATAAAGTAAGCTTATACTATAAAATGTGTGAAAAAATTAACTCACATTGAAGGAGGGACACAAACCCATATCTAGAGATCACAGAGACTTTATGGTGCAACTGAATACCCTAGCAACACCCTAGCAACAAGACTACATGAGTTTTGCATGTGCAAACACCACTCAGCTTGTCTTTAAGTGTCTAGTTGTGTCACAGAGACACATGCAGCACACGTACAGTACTGTGCGTCCTCATAAGGCTCTCGTATGTGTGTGTGTGTGTGCGCAGTGGCGGGTTTCCCGTATCCCGCGGCAGGAGCGACGGTGGCGTACAGAGGGGCTCATCTGAGGGGCAGAGGTCGTGCCGTTTACAACACCTTCCGTTCGGCTCCTCCTCCTCAGCCCATCCCGGCATACGGAGCGTGAGTCATATTCATATTCACTAATATTAGGAGATCAACAGAGAACAAAACTTGAACTGAATTCAGCTGAGTCAAGTTTGTTTCATAATTGATGAACTTTGGCAACACTGAAAATGTTAATAAACTGAATTGAATCAACACTGAATTGAGCTGCTTATAGCTGGATTAAACTCGTTTCAATATTAAATAACTTCACAGCTATTGAACTAAACTGAATTGAGCCGAATAATGACGCACCATTTTCTTCTGTAGAGCTGCTGTGCGGATGAAATTATATTCGTTTCATAATTGAATAACTTAATATTCCATTATTTTCTTTTTTATGACTGTCTGTATTGCAGAAAGAGTAATAGAAATAAATGTGACTGTTTACTCATCCGCAACAGAATCATCTTCATTTGGAGGCTTTTCACAGCAAATATTGATCTGTGCAACACTAATCAAATGAATTACTCCGGATGCCATATAATTAATGCAATTAAAGGATTGACGGCTCTATTTGTACGTTCCTCTATTCTGCACTGCATGCGCTCTCATACTTCATCTCTCTGCACCAAACTGATTTATTTCTGCGAGTCATGTGACTGTATTCTGCACCACCCCCCCCGCTCCTGACGCAGCAGTTCTCATGCTCATTGGTGATAATCAGACGCTCTCGTTCTCTCGTTTGTTGAACGCAGGGTGGTGTATCAGGACGGGTTCTACGGCGCCGAGATCTACGTGAGTAACTCTGTTAACTCTGGAGGGATGAGAGTGTGTGATTCCAGTCCTGGCGCTCTGGCGTTGATTAACCCGTGAAACCTGATTCACCGAACTCTAGAACCACTTCAGTCACCACACACACTCAGAGTTTGGCAAAGACGCTGCAGTCACACAACGCAGACACTCACTCGCATGCACGCACGCACTCTCACATACACAAACACACACACACACAATTTCACACACACACACACACACACACACACACACACACACACACACACACACACACACACACACACATACACACATTTACTTATGTATCTAAATGGGGACTTTCCATAGACATAATGGTTTTAATACTGTACAAACTGTATATTCTCTCCTCACACTAACCCTACCCCTAAACCCACCCATCACACTAAACTTTCTGCATTTTTAAAAACCTTTAACTACTTTGTTTACAAATGAGGACATCCTCAAAGGGAGGTTTTTGGAGATTTTTTCAAGTTTTGGTCACTTCTGGGTACAAATTTGGCCCCGAAATATAGTTAAGAAGGTACACAACACACACGCACACACACACACACACACAGACACACTCTCTCTCACACTCACACACACACAAAATCCTCAATATGACCACATAACAAATTAATATATCACTCTCACACACACACACTCAAACACACACAAACACACGCGCACACACACACACACACACAGACACACACACACACTCACACACAGAGAAAATCCTCAATATGACCACATATCAAATTAATAACTGTGGTAATGTTAAAGGTTCAGGGAAGAAATAGGCAGGAACCGGCAAACGTTCAATCAAACTATAATCATAAAATAAACACAAAACGAAAGTGAAGCATCAGCCCCTCACAGACGACTGCCACACAAACATCAACAACACAGCGGAAAGTCCAGGCCTGGTCCTCTCTCCTCCTTCACTGTCCTCACTCCTCCTTTTATTCTTCCGGAGTTGGAATTGTACATCTACTATTAGTACACCCAACTTTACCTATAATTACATACTCTATCATCACCCAGCGATATATTAAAAGTTGGATATTTACTGCATACATAACATACACTCATGTAAAGTGATATTATATTATATTTAACTTAATCCACATACTGTACATAAAATACACTCACAAAAACAATAGTATATAGGAAATGCCAGCTGCGTGATATACAATAATTTATATTTATATATTTTATCGCTCAGCTCTATATAAAAAATATGTAAAATTATATATATTACATACAACTTTATCAGCGTACACTAGTGATATAGTATAAAGCAAATCTCAACTGCTTTGTGTATATAACCTCTCAAACTGTAACTATATTATCGCCCAGATGTATTCTGCTAAATGCGACAATACGGCATGAAGATATTATAGAAATATTATAAATATTAACAGCTGCTTTTCACAATGTGTATTGTGAAAAGCGCTATACCGATAAAATTGACTTGACATTCATGCATTTGGCAGACGGTTTTACCCAAAGCGACTTGCATTGTATTCAAGATCGATATTTGATCAGTTGATGCGTTCCCTGGGAATCGAACCCTGAGCTTGGTGTTGCAGGCGCCGTTGCTCGTAATCCAGGTTTGATGCCCGGCAGTTTTCTTTACCACTTATAAAGAAAAAGAAAACTTGACTTTTTTTAAAGAGCAGGACAGAGAGTTTACAGAGAACAAGCCTCACTCAGTTTAGTGTTGTTTATGTGCTGTTGTGTATCAGTGATGTGAGTGTTGGAGCGTTTCTTCACTGGTCCTGCTGTCTGTCGAGGGACCCTCAGTAGTGAACGCTTAGTGTGTTTCTACAGTGAGTCACTGATGAGGTGAAGCGGATTCAGATAAAGGGATTCATCTTCCCCCCGGCACTGCTGTTCACACACACAGGCGCACACACATACACACACACACATCTGTTTCACATAGATAGTGACACACTGACCCTCAGTGACCCGCAGGAGGTCAAACACATTCACACACTCTCATCTCTCTTTCTCTCGTTCTCTGCTCTCAGATCTGCTCCTCACCTCTTTTTTCAAATATGGTTTGAAAAACTGATATATTTTTCATTTTTTTATCTAATCTATTTTTCATTCTATTTTTTTTATTTGGTTTTGTTCAAGTCTAACTGTACGAAACACTGATATATTAGAGTGTTAGTCTTAATAAACATGGGTACTTTTCTCTTCTCATTTTTCTTTTCTTTGCTTGTCTGTTCTTTCTTTTCTTCTATCTTCTTTTTCTTTTCATTTCTCTTTTATTTATTTTTATCTTTAGCTTCTTTTTCTCTCCTTTTCCTTTTCTTTTTTGTTTCTTTTCCCATCTTTTTTTCATTTGCATCTTTTATTTAATTTTTTTCATCTTTTTCTTGTCTTTTTTCCTTTATTATTTTTTCTATTATTTCTTTATATATATATATATATATATATATATATATATATATATATATATATATATATATATATATATATATATATATATATATATATAGGGCTTTTAACAAAGGATTGCTCCAAAGTGACTTTACAGTGATAATAGGAAATTAAAGTAACAGATTCTTTTGGCTTTATGGCAGCTCTAGAATAAAGTTATTTTCCAGCTAAAGTTAGTTTTGATTAATTCTCTTCCATCGCAACAATCATTAGTTATCAACTTAACACGACACCGTTTTAACAGCAGACGATTTTGATATTCTAGGTATTATCAACTGGCCGGAGCTTTGAGATCGCAATAGACGTGAAGCAGGGGCGTAGAATTTAGTAGGGACGCTAGGGACATGTCCCTACCAATATCCAGTGAGACTGATATATCCCTAGCAATAATTTCGATCAAAACTTAAAATATATTTATATATTGTTGTCCCCGTCCCCACCAATTTCAAAATCAAACCTACGCCACTACGTGAAGGACTATAATGCGTTAAGAGCTCGCTCAAGTACTGCGGAGCTAAACCATTTAGTGCTTTGCAAGTAATCAGCAATATTTTAAAATTTATACGATGATTAATAGGCAGCCAATGCAGTGTTGACAGAACCGGGCTAATATGGTCATACTTCCTGGTTCTGGTAAGAACTCGAGCTGCTGCGTTTTCGATGAAGACTTAACAGAGCAGCCATCGAGTGTAAGACAGTATTCTAGGTTATTACGTGAGGAAGTTTTTTGTCCAATTAGATTCTCGGTTTTTTTCAGAATTAAGTAGTAGGAAATTACTAGTCATCCAGTTTTTTATATCAGCTATGGGGATTATCGGCATAACAGTGAAAACTAATTCCATGTTTCCTAATGATATCTCCTAAGGGTAGCATGTACAGAGTGAAACGCAACGGTCCCAGTACTGAGCCTTGTGGTACGCCATACTGAACTTTTGATCGATAAGACATCTCTTCATTTACTGCTACAAACTGATAACGGTCAGATAAGTATGCTAATGCAATTCCACTAATGCCAAAATAATTTTCGAGTCTATTTAAAAGAATGTTGTGGTCGATGGTATCAAATGCAGCACTAAGATCAAGTAACACTAATAGAGAGATACAACCGCGATTGGATGATAAGAGCAAATCATTTGTGACTCTAATGAGAGCGGTCTCAGTGCTATGGTACGGTCTGAATCCTGACTGCAAATCCTTGCAGATATCATTTCTTTCTAAAAAGGAACATAGTTGTGAGAATACTCCCTTTTCTCGTATCTTTGACAGAAAAGGTAGATTTGAGATCGGCCTGTAATTGACTAATTCTGTAGGATCAAGTTGCGTTTTTTTAACAAGCGGTTTAATCATAGCCAGTTTTTTAGACAATTTTAGACAATTCTTCCTCTCCTATGAATACATTTTTTCCTCATGGAGACTACAATGCACTGCCTGATTCAATACTGTAGTTGAAAGTTGCATAGTTATAATTTTCTCCCTGATATTATCAATCTTGTAAGTATAGGTCTAAAATATTTGTAACACGGAGTCGGCTTTGCAGCCTTGGCTAAATTAAGTTTACACGAGACTAGATAATGATCTGAGATGTCATCGCTCTGCTGTAGTATTCGGTATCACCATTGATTCGATGTGATAATATTAGATCTAGAGTATGATTACGACAATGAGTAGGTCCTGGCACGTGTTGTCTAACTCCAATAGATTTCAGAATATCTTTAAATGCCAATCCGGATGGATCTTTTTCATTATCTACATGTTTATTAAAATCACCAACAATTAGGACTTTATCTGCAGCCAGTAATTTAACTCTGATAGAAAGTCAGCAAATTCTTTGATAAAGTCTGCCCTGGTGGCCTGTATACAGTAGCCAGCACAAATCTCAAACGTGATTTATCATATACACTAGATAGTGTTACATTAAGCACCAACACTTCAAAATAATTATATTTGAAACTAGACTTCTTAGTAATTTTGAATGTATTACTATAAATTACAGCAACACCTCCCCCTTTGCCTTTCAGATGAGGTTCATGTTTCTTTTCATGTTCTATTATTAGCTTTTCTGTTTTCTTTTCTTTTACTTTCCTTCTTTTCTGTTTTTACTTTTAAAAGCGCATAATTTCTCCTTGGCTTTTGTAACATGTGTGTGTGTTTTATGTGATTATAGTCGTATGTTTATTATGGATTTCTTTTCAGTACTCTGTCCTTAAAGTGTTAATAATTTAGACTTTTGGTCAGTCTAATGGCCGTTTTTAACTAGATATTCTCCTCATTTCTTTTCTCATCTCTTCTTCTTTCAGCTCCTCTCACTATTTCCTCCGTGTTTTTTCCTCTGGTTGTGTATCTCTCTCTCTCTCTCTTCTCCGCTCATCTTCAGTGGTGTGGTCTGTTATATTTAGCGTCGGGCTCTCAGTGTCCTGGTAAAGGCATGTTCAGTGTATTGGGCCGGAGGTGCTGACAGTCTGATTTATTACCCCGTGTGTTCGTAGGCTGGGGCTCCAATCAGCTCAGTCCCACAGGAAGTTCACCACGCCCACTCCTCCTCACTTCCTGTCCCCGCGGGAACGTGACCTCACAATCCCACGCTCAACCTCTAACCTGATTTCACTCACAAACTCACAAACTTATTCAAGTTTAAATAGTTTTGCAAGTGACGGGAAATCAAGCCGTCTAACTCGAGCCTTACCGTAGCGTTGGAAAGTCTCTGTGTGCTTATTCCAGGAATGCACACGCCGTTCTGTCTCAAATTCACAATAACTCAAAACACAAACTTTCTGTGCTGATTTTAAATGCGGTACAGCTTATCAATGCAAAACTCTCAGCATCCCGAAAGTGTGTGCTGTAGCGCCTCCCAGTGGCGAGCGCTGGACGTTCATGTGTGTGTGTATCGGGCCGGAGAGTGTAAAACAGTGTCTGTTCTGGTTCTGACGCTCTGATTAATGTGTGTTATTAGCGATCTGCCTACAGACAAATGAGCTCCACTCCACCTCAGAGTCTCTGCTGATTATGATACAAGCGCCACATCAACAGAATCTACTCCCTTTTCACAAAGTGTTTCAAAACATAGAGATATGCATCTGAAGGCATCATATGCACACTTTTGAGATGCAATGCTGCACACGCTCAGAGGAAAAAAAGGTACAAAAGCTGTCACTGGGACAGATCACTTTCAAAAGGTGTTTTGTACCTCTTGCTCTGAGAGTGCATCATTCTGCAGAATTGATTCATCCTTTGCAGAGAAGGCAAACCTAGAATGCATTGAGCTCAGTGGAAAAACAGGAGATTTTAAATGCATTGAATATGCACGGATAGATAAATAAATGCATGAATGAGTGTTTTGTGTGTTTTCAGGGCGGATACGCTGCGTACAGATACACTCAGCCTGCGACGGCTACAGCGTACAGCGACAGGTACGAGTTCACACGCACACACTCCTGATATTTAGGGCAGAAACACAGTTACCTTGTAGAAATCTCAACGAGAACCCATCCAGCTGAGAGTAAAGAGGAGAAATCTCAGATGTTTCTGATAGACAGCAAAGAGATGAGATGGAGACTTCTGCTGAAGATCATTAAAAGACTCTGGCAGAACATTTTATTGGATTTTTTTTAAACATTTGCAGTATTAAAGTGTTAGATGTAGTAATTTTTCAAAAAAAAAAAAATGTATTCATATAATTTTTTTATGTTAGTTATACATAGCACTGGTGCTGGAAGTGAAGCAGTGTTATCATTTTAGTATTATGTATATACTATTATAGTATTTATTATAGTTTTTAATAATTATTAGTATTTATTAATAAAAATAGCATTTAG